TTTGGGGGATCAGAGTAAAATAATATACTTGCAGCAAGACAATGCAAGTCCACATAACTGTGTGACTTCGCAGCTTACTACAGTATGGTGTTGAGGGTATTGAAGCGGCCAACCAGCCTGCAAACAGCCCTGACTTAAATATCCTTGATTTGGGATACTTTAACTCGATCCAAAGCTTACAAAGTCAAAAGGTCACTCGAACCATCGAGGAGCTTGTTGATGCTGTAAACAGTTCATTTCATGAGCTGCCTGTTGACACGTTGTCTAAAACCTTCATTACTTTGCAAAAGGTGATGGAAAAGACGCTTGAAAACATGGGAAAGAACGATTACAAGCTTCCGCACATGAGGAAAGACGCGTCCATAAAAGACCTGTCCTTGTTCAATGTCAATTGTGACCCTGCAATCCACCGGAGCGCCCAAGCCTTCCTGAGCACCGTGAATTCCCAAGTTCAGTAGTCGAGTAATTTTAATAAAATGGTCATTAAATTTTTGAGACGCATCATGTAATCTGGGACTTCAATACAAACTTCAAGATGATTTTCAATTCAAAGCATACTTTAATCAAGATAAAAAATGGGACTCTTTTCGCGGAACAGAGTAGTATTTAACCTAGCGGTATTTTACATGAGCGCTTGGATATTTGGCCATAGTGGTGGCCGCTGAGATGTATCTTGCTTTTTGTATGTGGCTCTTATCCATATATAATATCCGGAGGCAGTTGGGACCTTAAACCTCCCACTGAAATGATAAAACGCATGAAATCAGTATTTAACGTATTGTTGTTTTTGGTTTAACTACATTAATTGTACGTTAAATAATAAAACCTCCACTCTTCGATTTGGCCAGTTAAAGTTTTTAGATGACGTGCACCATACCACCCTGTCGGTGCCAGTTCATGTGCTTCTGTACTACCGGTAGCTTCGCGAACCTCACTCGGATTTAAACTTTGAACTCTACTGAGGCAGCATGACCGCATACCCATATCTAATATGCAATCAAGTATACGTATATATCAGAGAGGTTTTGCAAGTGTCCGTTCGCCGTCACGTTCTGCTCCGAACCATGCTTTTGTGTTCAGTTTGAACGGAATATCAAAGTTGTTTTGCACGAATGCGTTCGCGTTCTGCTCACAAATATCCGTATAAGTAAATATTATTCGGTTATTCATTCAAGGCAGAAAATCACTTTGTCAGCGATGGTGCTCACGCAGGCGGAGCTGTCCTCACTTGCCCCCTTCGTAAAAGCAACGACACAGCGACGTCGTTTCTTAGTGCTCTGTGCGTTAAGCTACGTTGAGCGCCCTGTTATCCCAGACATCCGGTACAATCTCAATGCTGTGTCCGATGCCAACGCACTGCTAGACTTTCGCTTCGACGTCATGGGAATCAAGAAGTTGGGCTATCTTCATGGTCTCCCGGCTGTGGTGATTACTACTCAACGCTACCGAGCCTTCCGCTTACCCATCGTTTGCATTGCCTCGTTTCGAGTGTACATTCCGTCAACTTCATTTTTCTCTTGGTCCGCCGCCACCCGCTTATGGCGTGCTTTTTCTTGAAACTTGGAGTTGGTGTACGCTGCGAGGAGCTCCTCGAGGAGGAGAATCCTCTCATCATGGTCTTCAGTAACACCCGACGCCCTCGCTGACTCAGCGTTGTATTGCACGTGGCCGTCCATCAATATCCCAAAGCGGTTCAGTACCTTTTGGCGTCGAAGGACGGGCGTCCAAAGTCTTCATGTTCGGCAAGTTGGTGTGCGACGGACGCCCACGATTTCATTTCCTCACCTTTTTTGCTTGGAATGGGCGGTCAGCATTCACCTGACGAAGCAACATAACATCTTCTTTGTCGTTGAAGACGCGCCGGCGCTGAGGTGTCTCCATGCCAATCAAGAAGTGCACCACCCGCCACTCAAACCTGACGTGTCAAGTAGGGTCGTGCAGTTCTTGATTGGCCAAGAACTACCAATCAAATGAAGTTATCACGGAGCAGACCGGACTGCCAGTCCGTGAGATGTGCACTTTAAGCGGATTGGCAATCAGATTTAAGAGTACGCGTTCGCGTTCCATATGAGGTTTGGCAGGACGACTTCTGGTTTTGGCAGCAAAGTGGAACGCGAACGCGAACGGACACTTGCAAAACCTCTCTATCGACTTCTTGAGAATTGGGGTCGCATATTGTCTGGCAGGTGCATCCAGAATGGCCACTGCACCGTGAGCACAGGTGCTATTTGCCCAGGTTGCATTAGCCTTTCCGTGACCAACACCGTTCGAGCCAAGCCAGACAACCTCCTTGAGATGTCTCTCAACCATCTCGTCGGTCCACAATATTTGTTTCTTTGCTTTCGCCCCATCCCCATCGTATAGATGACGCGCACCATACCGTACGTTTGGGCGAAAGCGCTTTCGCTGAAATGAAGGATGCTACTCCTCCGTCAATTCTCGAAACTGTCTAGAACAAAATAGCACAGTACATCGGGTAGAATACGACGGATGTACTGAGCTTGGTTATATTTGCATCCGTTGAATAGTGAAAGAGGAGTAGCTTCCTTCTTGCAGCATTTCAGCATGATTTGCATCCCTTTGACGCCAAGGACCCGAAATGGATTTCAATCACGAAACAATAATAATACGTTCTGATAATTTCGGCGGGAGTGCTTTCAAACATTGCTGAAATGCCGCGAAAAGCAAAATCACGGACTTTGGGACGCCGAAAAAAAGGTGTGAATAAGTGTACGACCACCACGTTAAGCACTCCACGCCAGAAGCGAAATGTTACCAAAAGAAACCTTGTTTGCAACCAAAACAGCTTTGACACACATTTGCAAGAATGAAACTCCCGATCAATCAAGTTGCATCAAATTCTTATTGGCTCATGAAACTACCAAAGCGTTTCGATTGGCTAATCATGACGATCCTGTATTCTGTACATTCATCTTTGTAACCGTACCATACAAGATGTTTTGGTACACTCGGGTGTACTATGGTACAGTGAACGCAGCGTACAGAGAACCGAGTAGGAACTCGCGCACAGTGGTATTTTGAAATATATGGGGAATTGTATGCGAATGCGCAAGTTGTGATTCCGAGTACGAATTATAATTTTGCAATCAGATCAATCTGATTAATTTTATTATATCCAATCATACAATTTACAAACTTTTTATGAGCATACTATTTGTTAAAATATAAAATATGAAAAAATACTATTGGTTGACGTCGGAATTTATGAATGCTCCATGGAAAAAAAATAGTGTCGATACCACTGTGCTATGTACACGTACAGCAGTACTCCCCGATATTACTACATACTGACACACCCAAAAGGCAATGCTCCGCTGCGCTTCTGTCGTGCTAGCGGTGGCGGCCTCGGTGGCCATCGCACAGACTCCACCAGATGCTTCAACCTGTTTGCCATGGGACGCCACAGTCGAGAAAGCCATCCATCCATCCCTGACTGACCTGTACAAGGCGCTGTCGCCGCTGGCAGTCATGTCGCCCGGGTTTGGTTCGTGCCTGCGAAATGGCCAAGAAGGATGGATTCTGCTGGTCCAGTCGATTGCATCGAACGACGACTGCAATCAGACGATTAAATGGCTACAGGCCAAACCGATGTCGGACATTCCATTCCAGCATGCCAATCGCACCCAGGCGCAGGCGATGGCGCTGGCAATGCACCTGCTCCATCTCAACGACACACAACTGCTCAGCACGTGCACCAACACGATTCCGGCCGTCGCTGCATGTGTCATGAACAAGGTGTGTCGTATGGTTGGTTTCATGCTACTATTTCACTCGACAGAACTGTCTAATCACTTGGACCCCTATTATGTTCAGCACTTACCCATCAAACGCATTCCTCAATTTAGATTCTCAAGGATGTAACTGTACTCAAAACAGCGTCGCCGTGTTGTGCATCGTGGATCGATTCATATACCGACCCATTACCTTTGAGCCTATTCACGTCCAACCTGCTCAAGCACGTGTCCAATGTATTTTGCTCCACACAAGTGGTCGCCGGGGCCAAAACATCTTGCGTCATGACGGGTGTAAAGGCCGTGATTCCCTCGAGCGTTGACATGGTGGACATGCTGACACGGCTGGCAGATTTCTTGGTCGCGCCCAACGAACAAGGGTGTGCGGCCCAGGAAGGCCTGCCCTTCAACGACACTGCCGGCAGCCCCCGGTCGCCCCTGTTCCACAACGCCACGCCCTTCAGCGGCTGCAGTGCATCGCTCGATGCATTCGTGCAGTGGATCAAGAGCGTTCCGTACCTGCGCCTCATTTCTACCTTTGACCCGTCGCGCCTCTTTGCCAACGGATCGGCCATGTGCGTGACGGGCCAGAAGCTGCTGCCGTACTTGGAGCTGTTTCTTCCTCAAGATAAGCCGGCCGCCATGGCGCTGATCACCGATTTTTACGCCAACAAGTGCATGCATATTGCCAACGGGTTTGCAGCCTCATGCAAGTTTCGATGGCCGGCCACCGAGTACTACGTCGCCTCCAACTGGCCGTACGAGACGACGAATTCTGCGACCGCCACGTCGGCCCCGTCGTCGGTCCCTGCAAAGTCGCCCGCTTCTGTGCCGTCGTCCAGCGCGGCAGCAGCATCAGCCCTCGGCTGGACCGCGTCGATGGTTGTGCTCGCAGCAATGACGTAACTACTTCGAAGGAACTTGCAAGCAATCAGTAGTAGTACAGTGTAGCTACTGTAGTAGTAGTAGCTACCGTCCCATGCTTGAGTATGCGTAAAATGTCGTGATATGGCTGATGTATATACAATATCTTTTCACATTGGTTGTGAGCACAACTACCGCCAACTTCTTGGATCACACAGCTACCGTATACCCCCCGCTCGTTAGACTTAGTAGTGGCATACTCGTACCGAGGCTCTCCTAGACTCGGCACAACTGAATTTGTTTTACCAACTTTACTACTTTTTATTAGAAATTGAATTTCACAATTTTCCCATCATAGTATCGTCCCAACATCAATACAAAAAATAAGTAGTAATTTTATAGAAATAAAAAATAATTATACCGTCGATACGATTCACATTCATAGACGTTGCAAAACATATTACAATGTTACTGTTGTATGTAGTATTATAAACTCGATTGAAACGAGAAGAACTACCGCTGCTCCACTCTAGATGAAGTAGCCCGACGGTTGCTTGGCTTCGCGGGTCAGCGCATAATCCGACGAGCGCTGCTCCAATCTCGTCACCCGGATGCGACCCTCGGCCGTCTTCATGGCCGACGCGCGCGAGTCCTTGGTGCTCGTGATCATGATGCCTTCCGCCATGGACGACTGCGGGTCCGAGCTGAATGCAAACCCGCTGTTCCTGCGGGACACCGACTGCGACGACGACGTGCTCTATAACAAAACTGTCAGCCCCGTTCATCTTTTAAGCCTCAAAATAGATAATAGAGCATAACATACATGGTGCGAATGGCGGAGGTACCCCCCCGCGCCTTCGTGGAACGTGTCGTCCACTGGTCGGGTGCCCGTTTCCACGTCACGACACGGCGGCGATTCCAATTGACCCAACACGTATTTCTACAGAAAAAGTAATAATGTTTGCATCAATTTTTACTGATTTAGCAAGAGTATGACGAGATACAATCATATACGACAACGTACTTCTTGGACCACTTGCCACAAGAACGGGTAGAACCGGCGCTGGAACACCACCCACGAGAAGAAGCGCAGCAAACACATGCCACTGGCAACGGGAATGATGAGCCAAAACACCCCACCTACAGTCGAGTTATGGTCAAATATATATTAATATATAAACGCCAGACAATCTACAAAGAAGTACGTACCATCCAACGTGTTTTGAGTAGCGCCGAAATCGCTCGACGAGAGCCAATACCAGCTCGATTCCAGGTACAAACACAGTGGAATGTACGACAATACGCCCAGCCACCACACGACGCCGCCAATCACGAGCCACGATTGTTGCATCGGGATGATCTACGTACAGTTCACATGAGATGATGCATACAGGAATATACTATGGCCCTATGATATCATTCTTGGAGTATCCATATATATATTTGTGCATACAATCATTCACAGAGTGTATCTATCATTTTTGGAGTATCTACATATATCATTTTTGGAGTCTCCTTACATCTACCTCTCTTGGAGTACATATGTATCTATATCACTCGATCAAAACAAGCAAAATGTACCTTGAAGTTGCACACAAACACGACAAGGGCAAAGAGGAGGATGCCATATTGCTGCAAGTCGCCGCTGCCGAGGCCTTGCTCCAGTTGATTGTACCCGTACACAGTCACGATGAAGATCACGGCCGACTCGAAAATCGACGCGGCAATCCACTTGAAGAACACCGTCGTGTTGAACAATTCGCCCGTGATGCCTGGCTTGTAAAGCGCCGGAAAGCGCTGGCCGACCGCCCACGGCACGTCGTAGTCGAACACGCCGAGCACCACAATAGGCATGGACGTAAACGCCAAGTTGTACGCTTGGAATGCAATTTCAGAGTACGCTTTTTGCCCCGATGACCCTACACAGACAAATATACTGTCCACACATCCCTATTTGACCAAAATAGTGTCATATATGTATGTACCTGTCGTGTACAAGTAAAAGTACTGGGCCAAAGCCATCATAATGTTCTTGTAAAACATGTACCCGACCAACTTGGACATGCGCACGTAATTCAATCGGCCATGGTGCAGCAGCAACTTTTCTAGGAAATAGAATTGGCCGATCGCATAGTCGCTCGAGTTGACCGCTTGCATGCCTTCCATGCCGCAGATGCCGACGCCAACATGGGCGCGCTGGATCATCGCCACGTCGTTGGCGCCGTCGCCAATCGCGAGCGTGCTATGTATGTATCAAACACTGTTATTGGCCATGGAAAAAACTCGTTGTCTTTCTTTTTCATATATATGACATATATGACATATATATATATGTATATATATAGGACCAAGACGTACCGAGCTTTGACGTTGTTGGCCCGAACAAGCCCCACGACTTCGGCCTTTTGAGACGGCGACACGCGGCAGCACACGACGGACGCACATTCCATGGCGACTTTTAAAAACATGGCACACGCATCATCTGTGTCGGCCATGACCATTTCGAGCGCATCGCCGTCGATCACAAGCGACCGCCGCGTGATTTCCACTTCTACAACCATAAATATATATATATATATAAATATATATATTCCCCATCATATTCTTCTCTCTTATATATATATACTCGAGGCCACGTACGGTCGAGGTCGGCCACACACAAGGCGAGACTCGCGCGCAGCGACGCCAGGTCCGGGTACTCGTCCAAGTTGAACACGTACTGCATCATGTCGTTGTCCATGAGCTGGCACGCGTACGCAATATTAATTGCTGTCTCCTGCTTGTCCCCCGTGAGCACCCACACCTTCATGCCGGCCTCCATGAGGCGGGCGATGGCGCGCGGAACGTTGTCCTGGAGCTTGTCTTCGATGGCCGTGGCGCCCAGCAGCACCAGATCTTGCTCCATCTCGACCATGCACGCGTCAATGTCGTTCGGGTGGCCATTCTTGCGCTTGTCAATCTGGTCCAGCGACGCGCACGCGGCCTTGTACCGCTTGGTCCACTGGTGGTAGTACGCTGTGGGAATCACCTTCTTGGCGATTGTGAGCGTGCGGAGGCCGTCGTCGGCGAACGTCTGCAGCTGCTCCAGCGTCGCCGCGACCACGTCCGCGTCGTTGTCGTTGGCCAGCAGCGGAGTGATCACGTTGTCCGCGCCCTTGGTGAGCAACATGAACGCCCCGTTCGGGTCTTGCACCACACAACTCATGCGCTTCCGGTCCGAGTTGAACTCGAGCACGTCCAGCACTTTGAACTCCCACAACTCGCTCGACGCAGACGGGTCCTGCTGCAGTGATTTGTTGGTCACGCGGACGCGCGCCACGCCCAAGCCCCGCGACTCGAATGCAAACCCAAAGAACTTGGCCGCCGACACCAGCGCCTGCTCGTCCGGGGACGACGCAGAGTACCGGAGCACCGCGTCGCCGTGCTTGTCGGTTGCTTGCTCTGGGATCACCGTGTGGCAAATCGCCAAGTGCAAGAAAAATTCGGCTTCTTTCGTCCAGTTGGTGGAGCTGTTTAACGGAATGGCTGTCAATTTCTGGTGCAATCTCGGGTCTTCAAAGTTCACATAGGGCACTTTCGCCCCTTTTTTCGACACGGGAACTTCAGGCACGGGGAGGCCCTTGCGTTTCAGCGCCGCTCGACCTTTAGAAATCATAAAACTTAACGAAAAATAAAGCAAGAAAGTTGGTATTTTGGTGAAAAACATACCAATTTCCGTCGTGCCAAGGCCATAACTGACGCCGTTGATCGAACACTTGCGGAATTCCATCACGTTGCACGTCAACGTGCCGGTTTTGTCGGAAAAGACATAGGAAATCTGGCCCAATTCTTCGTTGAGCCCCATCGTCCGCACAATCATGCGGACGTCGAGCTCTTCAAAGTACATGTCCAGGTCCCAAGACATGAAGATCGCTTGCAAAAACATGACCGTCGAAATCGTGACATACAGCGACACGGGGATGATTTGGTACATGAGCAGAAAGTATTGGCCAAACCCGACAAACCTAAAAGAATCGAAATATTATATATAATCGAAATATTATATATATATATAATCGAAATATAAACCTAAAAGAATCGAAATATTATATATATATATAGTCGAAATATTATATATATATAGTCGAAATATTATATATATATATAATCGAAATATTATATATATTTAAAAAACATGATCGACGGGTATGGACCTACCAGCGCTGGACCGCGCTGTTGGTTTCCAAACTCAAATAACAAGTCGGGGGCACAGCCGTCGCGCACGCATACGCATTGAACGTGTTGTCCTAGAAACAAAGGAAGTAAGTTATAGTGACCAAGAATCAACCAAATGTAGCACCCAAACCACGTCGATTTATAATATTTGCAACGTTTCGTCGGCTTAACCACCACCCAATATAGAATACAACATCAACACCAGAACATATATATTATATATACACACTTGATTTATCTATACACGTGAAAAACTCGCAACAACAGCATCATACTCAAACGTACCCATAACCATGCTCCTGTATATACCGTGCAACGCATGCATCGAATATTTTTGGCTTTTCACCCAACTTTGCCAGATTTGGGGAATTATTGAAATCACCAAGAAATCGAGCCAACGAGTATGATAGGCTAAAAAACGCATGAAGGTTGAAATATGATCGGCTATATAATTCAAAAAGATACCTCTTAAACTAATATTTATATATATATCAATAATTTCAAAGATCCGGCGATTGTGGGGCGATTCAATCAACCCACCGCCAGTGGAAATTACGAGTAGAACACACAATATATATATATATATCGACAACGACGTACCCAGAATACATATGCCGTGGCCGACCCCGAACAGAGCAGCACAAGCAAAAGCAACAACCATTGAATCATTCGGTTCACTTGACCGTTGATGGAACTCCATTTGGCCACTGGTTTGGCCGACGACTGCATGATCTTCGTGTCGGGGCCTGTGTTGAGCACGAGCCCGTACATCCACTCGGTGTTGCGGAGTTGGCACCCGCGCAGTAAGATGTTTTTGATTGAAATCGGATCGTTCGCGATATATCCATCGTGTTGGTCGACAAAGAATGACCCAGCAAAGCGGCTGATGGCTTTGTTGGGCTGCTCGCACTCGACCCGACCGTGCAGTGCTGACACTTCGGCTTCAGTTTGCACTTCCAGAGTACTTTCCATCGCTTGTCTACGGATTATATTATTAACACCAAAAACTCGGCCCACAATCGATCGACCAATCAAAACCGAGAACACGAATCAAATGGCCAATCAAAAAATCTTCTCCTTCCCATCATTCAACCTTGAAGTAGTGCATGACTTTAAAATTCGCGTTACACAGGACGATTCTTACATACAAAAGGTCAGTACAAACAATATCGATCCATGGCTTTGGTGAATCCAAAAATGTTGGCTGAAAGCACAATATGAATCAAGCCAATAATGAAGGAGGTTCGAATAATTAAAAAACGCGATATATACATATTCCATCCGAAAACAAAGTGAAATAAAAACCAAGAACGAAAATGGCCACAGTGAATATATATATATATACAGGGCTGTGAGATCGAGTACCGAAGTTTCAAGTTGGTTTCGCCGTCCAACGACTTGGTTTCGACGTAGCAAATGCCCGCCTTGTGGTCCACGTCCACTTCATGCACGGCCAAAATCAACAAGTCCGCGGGCGCGGTGCCGCGGTTGTCCAGCTTGACGATTTGGCCGACCTGCAAAGCTGACCACAGGATCGTCTCCAAGGCGCCGGTGCTGCGGTTCACGACATTGCACTTGGCCGAGTTGGCTTCCTCGTCTGCCAAGTGGCGGCGGCGATCTTCGATGATGGCCAACGTGCCGTCCACCGCCAAGATGAACAGCAACACGGGCAACGACGATGGAATGCTACACATGCCATCAGGTGAGAAGAATGAACGACGCACATGAGCATCATCAACGACGACGAACCCGTTGGTGTTGGAGATCGCGGGGATACACTGCAGCGCCGACACGACGAGAAAGTACGCGTTCGCGAGCTTGGCAAAACTCTCGACGGTAAACTTGGGCAAGAACGACCATACGGTGTACTTGGACGTGATCACAACGTTGGTACAGAACGGGCCGTGCACCTCGTTGCCTCGGGGATTCAAGTACAGTTGGCGATACTCACTCGGGGCGGCGTTGTCTGTCGTGATTTCCGCTGACGAAGGCTTGGGGCTCTTGGTAATCTCACGATACGCGGTGCCAGGCGCCGCCGTACCGGCAGTGGGTACATCTCCTTGCCCCATCGATGGATTCTCTCAAACTGTCTTGCGCTTCCTCGGTGCGTCCGGCCGCTGTGATGTGAGCAACAGCGACCGTCACAATGTTTGAAACAACCGTATACAATTTTAGGCTTTATCGTTTAAAACGGAGTATAAAACAACGTGGTTTATACCGCTTGCCTTGAGATTCACCAAAAATACTTCGGTACAAAATATTTAATTTACAGTTAGGGTGCCCCTATTTTTGATTAAACAGATTTTGAAAGAAACTCGACGATTCTGAGTTTCTTGCCAACTTTCAGGATCCCTTGAACCACTTTTATATTTTTTGCCGATAAACGCGAAATTGGGCTTGTGAATTCTCCAAATTTTGGATCAGACAGATAATTTTTCATTAACCAGAAAAGCAAGGTGAAATATTAGGCAATTTTGTATGCAGCGCAAGGTGAACCACCTTGCGAATTTCATAAATAATTCTGAAATTGTACAGTTTCAATTAAATATATCTTCAAGTTTGTATTGTTGATTTTTATTTTTCATGTGCCTGTCTCTTTTTGGAATTCACTAGGCAGGTCACATTGCGAATTCAAAATTGTCCAATTTGTTCAATCAGATGTCGTGAAATCACTGCGTAGATTCATCACACCCTGTTGCGATATATTCTACTTGTGTGATGGCGGTTGATGCAAGGAGCATTGAGATAATTATTAGGCTGTGCATGAGAGCAAGATCATGCGATGTGGTATTCAGGACTCGGTCAATTCGAACAGGTCTAGACTTCAGTAACATCATCAGTGGTGATTCACCACTTGTGCTAAACCAATGAATGTGGTCATCCCTCATTCCACCATCATGTCGTTGCCGTACACCTTCCTGCTGGAATGATCACGTGGTTGCGCATGCGGGTAGCGCAAGACGTCTTGGTGGCATCCATCGCAAGAGCTAAAGCCGCCACTTCAGCACTTGCGATGGGTTGCGACCAAGACGTCTTGCGCCACCGCGTTGGCCCACCAGAGTCATCACGGCATTGCGCCCCAACCGAGCGCACAACAAAATGTTAGCTGTAAGGGGACAACCACATTGGATATAGTCGGAGTGAACTCATCAGTGCACAATTCTCTGGAGCAGCATCGCACGAAGCTCTACAAAATTCACAAACAGTTCAAAATTGTAACCTCTTCTGTCAGCAGAGGACTTCAGAGAGGACCACTGAGGATGGACGTCCTCTTTGGTGTCTTGTGGACGAAGGCGAGGTAGTAGTACTCCATCTGTCTGTCGAAGAGTTCCTTGGCCAGGCGGCGGCGGATATGTAAGCCATCGACGTAGGAATGCAATCATGATGGCCTTTCTCATTCCGAAATGCCCTTCAACGCACACTGTCAATATCGTCAAAATATTCTACTCATGAGAAGAATATTATTTCTTGTGGTTTTCACGATATTTCTGATAAAATTATGGAATATACCTTGGTCAAGATATGGCATCCAAACACGCCAAATTGAAGTCGCTGAGATTCTTGAATATTTTGCAAAATTATCGCGATATTTCTCAATAAAAGTGGTATACAGACAGTAAACAGAAAATGTAAATTTGTTTAATACGTTTTGTTTAAAAAGAAAGTTCCCTCAAGAATACTATTTCGAAGTACCGGTATACGGCAATTGTTCAAGGATAAAAACAACCGTCTCTTGCCTAGTCATAAACCTACTTTAGAAGTACTATTAATACCAGTACCGCGAACGGATTTTCGTGGTAACCGGATATAAGGGCTTGTTATTCCAAGTACTATTAGACATTTTTAGCACGTGACAAAATGGTCCCAAGTCTTGTGAATTTATTTCACATTTTCCAATCCCTTTTGGTATACTAGTAGGCATAAAATGGCCTTTTTTCCAAGAAAAGTTGCCAAAATCGAAATATTTCATTTTTCGATATTTTGTGCATCTGGATGCCACCAAAGTTTAAAAATTGATGCCACAATTTTCTTGAGAACCAGGTGTTTTATGGCATAAAAAATATGGACCGATTTGGTCCAACATTTTTATGGAGGTTTGTGTTCACGTTGAAGTCTTGCACTTCATTCGGACATCGAATAATTTTTCCAAAGTACAGCTGGCATCCATAAAACTTTGTAGATACTTCTTTTCTCCTTTTTCGTGGGATATGAGACTTCTTTTCTCCTTTTTTCGTGGGATATGAGACTTTGGGAAATATTTGCAGACTTGCCAAAACAGATTATGGCATAATTTTATGGGGTGGCATCCACACCAGCCCTAAAAAAGTAGGAAACTGTATTGTAGATTCGGTATGAATTTCCGGACCCTGCATCTCGCACTGTTGTCCTAGCACTAGTGTATAGTATTAGTTTCTGCTACAAAATATTATACCTGGGTGTCATGACGCATTTCAATTTACATCAATTCTACATTAAATTTGAACGCGTTATAATAAAGTGCTACTTGAAATTTGTATTCGACAACATAAAGATGAACATAGTTTTGAACTTCAAGATGGTTTCCTGTTTCTTTGGCTGAATTCAGTATAATCATATCCAATGAAAAGTCCTCATTACATAATGAAGCCATTGGATTGGATATAATCAAAACCGTTCGCGATATTGATGGCGTTCGCGATATTGATGGTTTACCTTAGTAGGTAACGTTAGCTATAATCCGGAGTACCTGGTACTACGTAGAAGTACAGTAACCGAAACCACGGAGTTTGAACCAAGCTGGTCATTGGGGGACAACCAAAATGCCTTGGATTTCGAATCTCAGATTAGACCACTGAACTCACAAGTTTCAGGCACGAATTTTGTGCGAACTGACTGACAGCGAAGGAAGATCTGTACAGTAACCCAGATGTACTGCTTTGGAGATAAATATTTGAGGATTATTTATGTAAGTAAATGAAGGGCTGGTTTGGATGCCAGCCACCCCAAAAAATTATGCCATAATTTGTTTTGGCAAGTCTGCAAATATTCCCAAATCCCATGAAGAAAAGGAGAAAAGGAAGTATCTTCAAAGTTGTCTGGATACCAGCTGTATTTTAGTAAATTATTCGATTTCCGAAAATCTGGCTGAGGCACAAAATCCGGATACAATCCGGAGGTGCCAAAGAGGCCAAAGTAGACAGGCCAAAGTGCCCCTTCTTGACAAAGTGCAAGACTGCAACGTGAACCCAAGCCTCCATAAAACACCCGATTCTCAAGAAAATTGTGGCATACAATTTTGAACTTTGATGGTATCCAGATGCACAAAATCTCGAAAAATGGAATATTTCGATATTGCCAACTTTTCTTCGAAAAACGGCCATTTTATGCCATTTTTCGTGGCATCCAGACCCGCCCTAATACATAAATCAAAATTAAAGTACTGAAATTATAAACTGACTCTGTCATCATGTTGACGGTGGTCGAGAGCATCCACGCTTTTCATTTACAGTTAATTGAAAAAAAGTATAGATTTTGACATGATGAATATGGCAACATTGGCCGAGCTATTTCATGGCAGTTTACAAAATATGATCAAAAGATAACAAATGGTAATATTGTCGATTTGATACAAATTTGGGGACGGGGTGCAATCTAATCGCGCCGACCAAACCAATTCGAAATCGATCTGATTGGTTGAATTTCATTGAAAAGGTTGAAATGATTGGCTAATAATTTTGAGCTCATCTGAGGTAGCCAATCAAATCGATTTAAATTCCAACGAGAAACCACGCCACAACACGAAAATTCACTCGAAAGTACAATACTTGCCACTTTATTTTAGTATTCATTTGAAAATGTACTTGTCAAATTTGATAAAGCACTGTGTATTATAGTATGGAGTTATTCCCATTCAGACGATTTGCTACAGCCATTATATTTTGCAGTGCTTTTCGCGATTTCCCGATGGTTACACACAGAGTTTCGAATTTCAACCACGTCGTTGATTGGCTGGTCGATGGTTTTTACTGACACCTCGACACCACCTGCACATGAAGATGGGCGAAGCGTATCGAGAAGTGGCCACGAGCCCCAAGCCACCGCCTGGCAGCACGTTCATCGGCTCGGAGACGTCGTTGCTCTCGAATAGCTTCCGCCACCTGTGGCTGAATCCTCGCTCCACCGAAACCCACGGCCCGTTTTGCACGAACGTGGTCGTCACATCCAAGTATACCAAGTGGTCGTTCTTGCCCAAGTTTACCGTCGAGAGCTTTGCCAAGCTGGCGAATGCGTACTTTTTGCTCGTATCCATCCTGCAGTGCATTCCTGCGATCACCAACACTGGCTGGTAGCGTGCTCCTTCGTTTGTTGTTGCTTGAATCATCATTATCATCAATAGGCCATCGACGCTGCCCGTGCTCATGTTCATCTTGACAGTGGACGGCACTCTGGCGATCATCGAAGACCGCCGAAGGCACTTAGCAGACGACGAAGCCAACTCGGCGTCGTGTCGCGTCGTGTTCAATGGCAACCTCGTGGCGATGCCCTGGTCTGCGCTTCAAGTAGGCCACATCGTCAAGCTGGACAACCGCGGCACCGCGCCCGCCGACTTGTTGATTTTGGCCGTGCATGAAGTGGACGTGGAGCACAAGGCTGGTATTTGCTACGTCGAAACCAAGTCGTTGGATGGCGAAACCAACTTGAAACTTCGGTACGTCAGTGTGCATGGTCAGTCATCCATCCATCCAGGGAGGGATGACTGAAATTCCAATGTCCACTTAGACAAGCGATGGAAAGCACTATGCACGCGCAGGATGAAGTCGAAGTGTCAGCGCTGCACGGTCGGGTCGAGTGCGAACAGCCCAACAAAGCCATCAACCGCTTTGCCGGGTCATTCTTTACCGACCAACCTAATGGATCTATCGCGAACCATCCTATTTCGATCCAAAATATCGTTTTGCGCGGATGCCAACTCCGCAACACCGAGTGGATGTACGGGCTCGTGCTCAACACTGGCCCCGACACGAAGATCATGCAGTCGTTTGCCAAGCCTGAAACCAAATGGAGTTCCATCAACGATCACGTCAACGTGATGATCAAGTGGCTTCTGGCTATGCTGTTATCTCTGTGTGTGTGTGCAGCATCGGCCCAAGTGTACTGGGTACGTTATATCGTTCTTCATTTGGTGGACTTTGTGCTGATTCACCATCGATTCACTATCCTGACTTTTGTATGGAACATCGTCCAGTGTCACACTAATTTCATTCACACACTAATTCGATGTTGAATTGGTCGAAGAGTGAAAAATATGATTGGCTACTTGATTCGTGAAGTGGGTTTTGATTGGTCGTATATCGATTGTCTGCCGATTTGGTTCTTCTGCTCGTACACTGCAATTTCGAATCGACTTATAATATTACATACAACTACACATACTATCGTATACTGACCGTCTGTCTCTAAAGGACTACCGCTTCTCCACCCACACTTGCGCCAAATTGAACGCGTGCTACCTGTCCCTACCTCGGCACACTCCGTTTTATCGATGGTAATACTACCCAAGTTTCTGAAATCATGATTTTGACTCGATTTGTTATTCCTGGTATGTAGGCTCGTGGCGTGCGGTCAGTACTTTTTGCTCCTCTACCAAATGATCCCAGTGTCGCTTTACGTGACTATCTCGACGGTCATGCTAATCCAAGCCATGTTGATGGCGTTGGACCTGGACATGTACTACGACGTCCTTGACTCACGCATGATTGTGCGAACGATGGCGCTGAATGAAGAATTGGGCCAGATTTCGTACATTTTTAGTGACAAAACTGGCACGTTGACGTGCAACGTGATGGAATTCCGCAAATGTTCGATCAATGGCGTCAGTTATGGCCTTGGCACGACGGAAATTGGTATGTTTTTCACCAAAATACCAACTTTCTTGCTTTGTTTTCGTCGAGTTTTATGATTTCTATAGGACGAGCGGCGCTGAAACGCAAGGGCCTCCCCGTGCCTGAAGTTCCCGTGTCGAAATATGGGGCGAAAGTGCCCTATGTGAACTTTCACGACCCGAAATTGCACCAGAAATTGACCGACATTCCGCTGAACAGCTCCACTAACGCTCTCACGAACGAAGCCGAATTTTTCTTGCACTTGGCGATTTGCCACACGGTGATCCCAGAGCAAGCAACCGACAAGCACGGCGACGCGGTGCTCCGGTACTCTGCGTCGTCCCCGGACGAGCAGGCGCTGGTGTCGGCGGCCAAGTTCTTTGGGTTTGCATTCGAGTCGCGGGGCTTGGGCGTGGCGCGCGTCCGCGTGACCAACAAATCACTGCAGCAGGACCCGTCTGCGTCGAGCGAGTTGTGGGAGTTCAAAGTGCTGGACGTGCTCGAGTTCAACTCGGACCGGAAGCGCATGAGTTGTGTGGTGCAAGACCCGAACGGGGCGTTCATGTTGCTCACCAAGGGCGCGGACAACGTGATCACTCCGCTGCTGGCCAACGACAACGACGCGGACGTGGTCGCGGCGACGCTGGAGCAGCTGCAGACGTTCGCCGACGACGGCCTCCGCACGCTCACAATCGCCAAGAAGGTGATTCCCACAGCGTACTACCACCAGTGGACCAAGCGGTACAAGGCCGCGTGCGCGTCGCTGGACCAGATTGACAAGCGCAAGAATGGCCACCCGAACGACATTGACGCGTGCATGGTCGAGATGGAGCAAGATCTGGTGCTGCTGGGCGCCACGGCCATCGAAGACAAGCTCCAGGACAACGTTCCGCGCGCCATCGCCCGCCTCATGGAGGCCGGCATGAAGGTGTGGGTGCTCACGGGGGACAAGCAGGAGACAGCAATTAATATTGCGTACGCGTGCCAGCTCATGGACAACGACATGATGCAGTACGTGTTCAACTTGGACGAGTACCCGGACCTGGCGTCGTTGCGCGCGAGTCTCGCCTTGTGTGTGGCCGACCTCGACCGTACGTGGCCTCGAGTATATATATATAAGAGAGAAGAATATGATGGGGAATATATATATTTATATATATATATATATTTATGGTTGTAGAAGTGGAAATCACGCGGCGGTCGCTTGTGATCGACGGCGATGCGCTCGAAATGGTCATGGCCGACACAGATGATGCGTGTGCCATGTTTTTAAAAGTCGCCATGGAATGTGCGTCCGTCGTGTGCTGCCGCGTGTCGCCGTCTCAAAAGGCCGAAGTCGTGGGGCTTGTTCGGGCCAACAACGTCAAAGCTCGGTACGTCTTGGTCCTATATATATACATATATATATATGTCATATATGTCATATATATGAAAAAGAAAGACAACGAGTTTTTTCCATGGCCAATAACAGTGTTTGATACATACATAGCACGCTCGCGATTGGCGACGGCGCCAACGACGTGGCGATGATCCAGCGCGCCCATGTTGGCGTCGGCATCTGCGGCATGGAAGGCATGCAAGCGGTCAACTCGAGCGACTATGCGATCGGCCAATTCTATTTCCTAGAAAAGTTGCTGCTGCACCATGGCCGATTGAATTACGTGCGCATGTCCAAGTTGGTCGGGTACATGTTTTACAAGAACATCATTTTGGTGTTGGCGCAATACTTTTTCCTGTTTACAACTGGTACAGTCATCCTGGCGTGAATCATCATCCATGTCGTTGCTCAATGCATGATATTCGTTGTTGTATATGATATAACAACTAACTAGTGGATACTATTAAACGATAACTGATACTATCACGTTGTCGTAGGCTCGTCGGGCCAAAAAGAGTACTCGGAAGTAGCGTTCCAGCTGTATAACTTGGCGTTTACGTCGCTGCCGATTGGCGTGCTCGGCGTGTTCGACTACGACGTCCCGTGGGCGGTCGGCCAGCTGTACCCTGCCTTGTATAAGGTGGGCATATCCGGCGACTTGTTCAACACACTCGTGTTGTTCAAGTGGATTTGTGCGTCCATCTTCGAAGCGGGGGTGATCTTCGCAGTTGCCGTGTTTGGCTTCAACCAGCGGGAGCTCGGGGCTGGGAGTGGCGACCTGCAGCAGTACGGAATCGTCCTCTTTGCTCTGGTCGTGCTCGTCGCCAATTTCAAGGTTGGTACCATGTTGAGAATGTATATATGTATATATTGTCTAATCGATTCGAACGTGGAGCTTAAGAGAATGGATTAATGAACCGCATAACCCAATCAAATCACGTCTTGCCGAATTTCTGCCAATCCAAACGTTTGATTCGGCCCTGTCCGTCCGCATTGGACAAAATCAAATATATACTAATCGTTGTATGTTATAGTAGATTGTTCAAGCTTAAATGAGATCAAATGGATTTGAATGCTATTTGGTGAAATGACCAAATTTGGGTGAAATGCACAATATATGGGTTCACTGGTCAAATGTATGGTTTTGGACAGTTCACACTGATCTCCAATCGATCTCATTGGTCAAGCTGAAATTTCCTTGTCGCGGATTGGTGGCTACAATGGTTGTTTCGAACGTTATGTTGTAAATTATTTGAAGCGAATAACCGTAGCTGGGTCTTTATTTAATTTAATTTTTTATTTCTTTGACGGGTGGTAGATCATTTCGATCCAACAATCGTGGATGTGTTGGGGCGGCGTTGCGTGGTGGTTGGGCGTGCTGGCGTATATCCCCCTGACGCTGTACGTCGAGTCGAATTGGCTCTTTCTGTCCCAAGCCAACTATGGCGCGACTCAAAATACGCTGAACGGTACGCACTTCAATATATATATATACTGATTTCCCCCCCTGACTTTGGAACGGCTAAATTTCAATAATTTGTGGAAACGAACAGTATTAAATGTCAAAGTTCAGCGAACCATCGGTCCCGCCAACCTTGAGTGAAAACTTATAACTGTGATTTCTTATATACTGTCAAAAATACATTTTTTGGCCTGTTCCAAAGTCAGGGGGAAATCAGTATATTTGTGTATATCTATTCGCCTCTGAGGTTGTATGACTTATTCGTCGTAGGGCCGACGTTTTGGTTTGTGTTGCCGCTGACAATTGTCACGTGTTTGCTGCGAAACTTTTCCTGGAAGGTGTTCCAGCGATCGTTTTATCCGTTTTTATGGCAAGTGGTCCAAGAAGTACGTACAACAATTCAACCCCCAAAGCGGCTAGTTGTACATTATTGTGGATTCATTAGCATTGGTAGAAACATGTATTGGGCAAATCGCTTCACAACCCCGAGCGATATCCCAATGTCAAGCTTGGAAACGACTTTGGAGGCGACTTGGAGGTCGCTTGGCTCGGTGACGGCATGACTCTGCCCACCCTCAGTCATCCCAGCGGCTCGCGATATGTACGTACAAATGTGAAGGAGGCTAGTTATTGTGCTTTCGAGTGAAATTTCGTGTTGTGGCGTGGTTTCTCGTTGGAATTTAAATCGATTTGATTGGCTGCCTCAGATGAGCTCAACATTATTAGCCAATCAAAACCACCTTCTCAATGAAATTCAACCAATCAGATCGATTGTGGATCGGTTTGGTCGGCGCGATTCGATTGCACCCCCTCCCCAAATTTGTATCAAATCGACAATAGTTGATGAGGTTTCTTGCGATGTTCTAGAGCAACTCGTCGTCCAGGTCCGTGTCGAGAACCAACAGCGGGTTTGCCTTCAGCGCCGACCCTCACTCGTCCATGGCGGAAGGGATCATGATTACTCAACAGGATGACGCGGCCATGGCGGCGGCCCTGAAGGCGGGCGCGAGTCGCGTTCGACTCACCCGGCTGGACAGGCGGTCGTCAGATTTTTCAACCGACCAGCAACACCCCACGGGGGTATTTGTCTAGCAAAAGAATGAAGTTTGTTGTATTATGATTTTGCCACAAATTTCCCCATTCTGCGCGAATCGTAAAACCAATCACAAATCTCGCCGCGAAATTTCATTGGCTTTCCCCATTCCGCAGAAAGCACACTCTGTAAAACAAAGTGGCGAATCACACGCTGCAAGAAAAGTTGGAGTGACGCATGGGGGCGATTCGTGAATCAGTATGGTCGGCGTGATTCGAATGGGTAGGGTCCGGAAATTTGCACGAAATCTATATTATAGATTCGGTACAACCACGCCGCGATGTTTTATTGGCTAACCAATATTGGGGAGAAAGGACATGGAAAACAGAAATAATATTTTTAGCCAATCAGCGATAAGTAATTTCAAATAAACGAATCAAATGTCACTGCGAGGTTAAGGGCGAGGATAACAGTCCGAGATTCGATTGGGCGGGGTCTGGAAATTCGTGCCGAAACTCGTAGACTCTCTTTTACTTCGTTTTATGGGGCTAGCCTGCCTCGCCATAAAAGTGACAAAAAGTGACAGATCAATCCCTAGGTAAAATAGTAGTTACGAACAGTAAACTGTCAGTAGCGTTCGATCCAGGCACGTCGTACGTGTTTGATGTATCTGTAAGGTGCAACCGTGGTGGCGCTTCAGGCAAGTGGTCATTGTAAGTGCGTGTAAGGTTAGTATTCCAAGTTCAATTGGCAGTGCAGACAGGTCATTCATTCGTAATGAAATAACGAAAAAAACAATTTACTGTTAACTAAGATACTCGAAGTAACATACTGTTAAGTAATGAAAAAACGAAATTAACGTAAAAAACCAGTTTACAGTTAACTAAGATAACTTAACCAATTTAGGACAACTTTGCATTGCCCAATCACACGTCGTCGCTTGTTCGAGTCAAAACCTCTGTCATATAATGCTAACCATTCCGTCACGTGAATGAAATGGAAAAAAAGCGTTGAAGCCATTTGTAACAGTCATTCAAGATTGGGCTTGAAGTACCCTAGTCGACACGGGCCACATTGGGTTGGAGCTGGGTTGGATCTGGGTTGGATCTGAGGTTTTGTCGAGTATTAACAGGAAAACTCGGTGGGCATCCTTCCACAACAGTAATATATCTCTATAAAGCAATACCCTTGTATAAATTATATGAAACCTGTTGTAACCGCTTACCCTAAACACATAATTTCAACATACTTTAAGATAAAAAAGCTATCATAAAATTTGTTGTCAAAATGTGAGTACAAATGGTTAGAAAGTAACAAATCTACCTGTGAAGTTCGTCGTCTGTAAACTGATAATTCGATTATGTAGTGAACGCGGACTTACTTGCTATGTACTACTACTGTACTAGTATTAATAGTACCATGTTAGGACGCCACTATTAACAGGTCTCGGCAAGGTAAGGTAAAAGTTAAACGGGGTATAAAATATTTTTACTTTTATTGGAGATTCGGTATGAATTTCCGGACCCCGTTCAATCGAATCTCGCCGAGCGAATCGAGCACCAATCTCTCCCATTGGTCAATCCGAAACTACTAGTCGCTGATTGGCTACAATCCATTTTCGAGTTTCTACTGGAAAGGGCGAAGTGGATATTGGCCAATCAGATGTTTCGGCTCTATTTGTGCTCGATTGAAAATCGACAATACCTTTACCCTTACCTTACCTTGCCCCGAATGGTCCTGCTTACCTTTTACCTTACCTTACCCCATTACCGGGTTATTACCTTTTACCACTATTTGGTTAAGCTTTACTGTACAGTTAAAAGTATACTGAAGGTTATTTGCTGTAAGAGTATTTGATTTATGTCTTGTGGATTCGGTACAGATTTCCAGACCCCGTCGAATCGAATCACGAATCGACGCTATTGGCTTATCCAATTTTGAGTGGATTTGATTGGCTCTTAGAGAAATGACAAATATATTCAACCAATCAGAACTCCAGCGTGGTTCAATATTGATTCGACAAACCATGCGAATTTTGGAAGTTCTGAACAGCTGGATACCTTTTTCTCTCTAATATTCGCAAAGCTTCACGTTCATTTTTCAAAAATTCTGAATCGTGCACTTAAACTCGGACAGAAGTATTAGCTGCATGCTTCACCATTTAGCTACAGAAGCTTGGGTCATTTGAAAGCACTTTGTTCAAGATCTATTACTACTTAGTACAGTAGTACGTAGTGAAGAGTATATTACAAAGCTAGAAAAAATAGATATGTTACGTAGGATTTGAACCCTCAACCTCCAAATTGCTAGCAATGAGCTATACCATCACACCTACGTGCGATACATGTTTTCGACAATTACCATGATGTAAAATTGTTGATGGCTTTTGCGGTTTAGGTAGCCACGCATGGCGATGCAAACCTATGGTGCAGGTCTAAGCATACCAAACACATCTACATGCGAACCAAGGGTGGGTAAGTGTCATGAGCATTTAGTGTGGCGGCGTGTATTGTAGTTATATGTTATACAAGCTGGCTCGGCGTTTGAGCTACTCATCTGTAATACGCTCACTGGTATTTTGAGTGCAAGGACTGCTGCTTTCTTGCACGCAAAGTATCAGCAAGGGAAATGCAACCTGTATGAGTGCTGTGTACATAAGAATGTCATGTAGCCAACGCAAGGTAGCTTGCGTGTGGAGATGTGAGTTATCAGTAGCTGTTGGTTATGTGTGCGTCTATTTTATGTCGGTACAGTACCGGTGCACACAGTGTCGTGTACACACTACTGATTGTATCGGATATTAACACCATGGTAAAGGTTTGTGAGATGTGAAGAGTGGAAAGGTGGAAAATCCAGGGGGAACACTGGATGGTTGCGGGTGAAACGGAAAGTGAATTAGCTTAGCCACCAGTGAGGACAACTGGTTCTAAAGACTCGACGGACTAGCTAATGGCTAGCCAATCAGGACACGGCATCCTAATGATGTACCGTGGATATGGCTGGCAATCTACTATGTAAGGAAAAGCCTCTAAAAGGCACAAAAGCCTCCTACTAGCTGCAGCCAATGCTGCTACCTGAGGCTTCAGGGCAGTGGTGATGTTCATAACAAAATTGGGTATTCTGACTGCCTCCCAACAACTCCACGCACTGTCACCGGAATCAGGTGCCCATAGTGCAGCAAGAGGCTGGCGGTTAGACTCAGAGAGCGTAACCACCTATGGATACATCGTCTTATGTCCGGGACGAAACTCGTCGGACGTCCCTCTTAGCGAGTCCTTACCAATATGGTCCTTCCGCACGACATGCAGGGGAAGAGACCGGATGGATCGAGTAACCACCGGGATGCCGTCACCCCCGTTGTCTGACCTGTCACGGTTGGAGCGTCCTCCGTATATGACGGGATTTTTCACGGGCTGAGAGACCGGAGTTTATGATCCTTGGCGTTGGCCAAAGGAGTCGGAGGGCTGCAGCTGCTTCACTCTTAGTTTACTGCGCAGTGCGCAGAACGTTGTAATGTCTAATGGTTTGGTGAAGATATCTGCGACTTGGAGTCGTGTATTTGTGTACTCGAGTCGAAACACTTGTTGTTCGACGAGGTCGTTGATGAAATGGTAGCGCAGATCGATATGTTTAGTGCGCCCATGGTGACCAGAGTTGTTCACTCTCTGGATGCTTGTCTCATGGAGGGTGATAGCTGAGGTGATGGGATGACCCACCTCACCTGCTGTCTGCTTGATGTACAAGCATTCTTGTGCTACTGTGCACATAATCATAAGTTCTGCCTCGGTGGTCTAGAGAACTATGCTGCGTGATCTCTTAGCGATCCATGAGATCGCATAGTTGGAGTCGAATGCCACAAAGCCGGCAACGCAGCGACGAGTGTCAACGCAATTAGCGTAGTCACTGTCAGCAAATGCGTGCAGCCGAGTGGTGGCATTGTGTTCACCACCCAAGACGAGTCCGTAGTCGATCGTGCCTCGAATATAGCAAAGCGCTTGCTTTGCTGCCTGCCAATGGGCTTGGCTAGGGCTCGTTGAGAACTGACTGAGTGAACTGTGAAACCCAAGAATGAACTTGAGCGGGCCAAGGTCGTGCATTTTAAAGCGCGCCGACAAGCCATGTTTGATTGCTGTCATCATGTCCTTCGTGGGAGCCACGATGACGAAGTCGTAGACATAGAAGCAGATGTAAACGGATCGTCCATCCATGACCTTTGTGAAGACACACCTGTCCTTGACAAGTTGGGTGTACCCTTGCTCGCGCAAGTAGCCAGTGTCTGTAACCACAAGCGTGGTGCCTGTTTCAGGCCGTAGACGCTTCGAAGTACGTCGCGAGGATGTTTGACGTATACTTCACAGTCGATTTCTCCATTGAGAATGTCTGTGATGACGTCCATCGCGTCGATCTCATAATCGAGGACCGCGCCGAGAGTAAGCATCATTCGCCGCAGAATTTCCTTTGCAATGACTGGGGAGTAACTCTCCTCGAAGTCGACTCCTTGGGCCTGAGTGTGTCCTTGGACGACAAGTCGCGCTTTGTAGCGGGCGACCTGTCGCGTAGCCTCAGTGGCTGAGTCATCGTATTTGATCTTAAAGACGCAGCGCATGCCCAGGGCTGACTTCCCTGGAGGCAATGTTGCGCTCTCGAACGACATGTTCGCCTCATGTGAAGCCAATTCGAGCAGCATGGCTTCGTGCCAATGCGCTTTGGCTGGTGATTTCTTAATGCTTGCGCATATGTTGAGGGCCCCTCAGTAGGTGCTTTGACCTTGAGGACCGAGAGGACATGCTCTGGTGTCGAGATGGATCGAGCGCTCGAGGCGTCCTCGATATATGACATAAGTAGTCGTGCACGGCCGTCGGGTTGACGTCGCCGTGTCCAATGTGGAAGTCTGCGATGAGACGATAACATACTCGTTGGTATGGTCGATGTGACGCTCGAGACCACGAGGGTCGAGGTAGAGTCTCGAGCGACTGGATTGTCGTAGGCGGCAATGTTGGCTTGGGGGTGAATGTCGTATTCACATACTCCAGAGTAGGGTAGTTTGTACTTCTCGTGAAACGAGGTACACGGGACGGGAAATACTTCCGTCGTCGAG